ATTCTTTGGATTTCCATTGTTTAACAAATACATAATCATACAATCTTGTGTTTGCTTCAGGGAGTTATATCATCTGGGATTGTTATCTCTCTTCAAACCTGGTGTATTCACAAAGGAGGTCCTGTCTTTGGTGCAAACAGTATTAGTTGCTATCATGGCATTTGAAATCCTCGGCGATCAGTTATACTCTGGATGGTATTGGTGTCAATTTTACCTATTCACACACAACACCACACAAGCCTGAAACCTCATAAGAACATGACTCATTAACTACAATAGTAAACAGCTTAAATTAGTGTTAGACATGAATGATTTGTTTAACCGGACTTTTCATTTTTCTATCTAGTAATGTATAGATTGTTTTAGAATTACATAGTTATTTAGTAACACAAATATTAATACAAAAAACGATATGAAATATTTCATATCACGATCGAACTCGATTCATACCTGGTATGGACAAAGACTAAAATCGAACTGCATTGCGTTAACATACTAGATCTCTCAATCATTTCTCTCTTCTCTTGCAGGATTATAGGTGCAATTCTCATTATGGTTGGTCTCTACTCTGTTTTGTGGGGTAAAACTAGAGAACAAAAGATGACAGACCAGGATAAGGAAGAGATATCGACAAAACCTCTTCTTGATGCCCATGTAAATGATAAAATAAAAATAAAAACACTGTAATATGTGACATTCCATAGCTTGCTGCTCTGTTAACAAAGCAAGACAGTTCACACATGGGTGATTGATTGGCCCTCAATTTACTGATGCCATATGAAAGAGAATTGACACTGGTCAGAGAGATAAGCTCAGGATTCAAACATGTAGATCTGAGTGGATTTCCTTTTTACTCTATTAAATAAAATTCAATTATCCTGGAAATGCATTGAAGAGAAGCCCATTTCAGTGGGTCTACAGACCATAAATCTGACTTGGTTGGTTGGCAGGTTGTCAATTATAAAAATTGGAGTCGGTGAAAGTGTGGCTCTATGAATTTAATCTTTATATAATCAATTATCACCTACCACATTGCTTTGGAATTTATTTATCCAATTACTCTAGTTTTATTTATCCAAATACTCTAGTTTTAAACTCGTTTATTAAACTACCATTGGTTTCAAAAAACGCATTTTGAAAATGATGTACGATAATTGGGTGCAAGGAAGTGGATACAAACTTATAAAGATTAGTTACTTCTCCTAAACTAGGCTTCATAATTTTACGACCTCTGCCAATGTAAATGAGATGAGGGTACGGTACTAAATGTACCAAAAATTATCACCACTGAAGGACAAGTTACACCAAAGGAGAAGTTACAACTATTTTTTACTGATCACAACATTTAACGTTCAATCACAATCTTGTGAAATTGACTATAAAATGATATGATTGATCATTAATCACCTCAATCAGTTGTCACTTCTCTTTTGTAATGTATAACTCGAGTATTAAAAATTGTATTTTTCATAATCGATCACAACAGTTTAAAATAAATCATAACATTTTGGGGCATAACTAAGATCCTTTTGAATTGGAACTTAGACCTTCAAAATGGTTGTCACATTACCTTCAAATATTATAACTTTCGGTACATTGTCAAAATGCGAATATCGGGAGCCATAGTCGTTCCTTCATAAGTTATACATTAAGGAGACCCCAGAACGGCAAATATATTCAGCTTATGAGAGGTGGTGCAACCACAGGTTCAACATTAGACTACGAAAAAAATAGATGCTTCTTAACTATCTGCTACTTTACTGAGAAAAAAATGATTCTGGCTGTCAATTATATTGCATAAAAGGCGATATTTGGAGGAATTAGTCATCTATGCAAAAGCATATACATTGTCTCAACTAGAATGTAGTAGCAGATCCCCAAAAAACAAAGTAGAATGTAGTAAGCTAAGCATAAAAATGCTTACACGGGTTATAAATATAAATACAAGGACAATTGTATAGAAGGAAATACCAAAAGTTACAACATTTCAAATCTTTTGAAGGCCTAAATTACAACTCAAATGGATCATTATACATCATAAAATATTGTGATAATATAACTTGTGAAGTTACAATTATTTGAAGTAATTTATAATCGATCACAACATTACATGATTGATCTTGTGGTCAATCATGAATAGTTGTAACATGTCGATGTGTCTTGTAGTTTGAACTTTTATGGTGGTATTTGTGTCACAGAAATTTTTTCCTATAAATTTTTTGGCAGAAAAGATGACAAAATTCTTATAACAGCGCTTCTTACGAGGAACAAACTTCTCACAAAAGGCAGAAAATAACTAATAAGATTCAGGGAAAGAAGGTACAAAAACAGAGGAATGCAATAAAAGACAGGGATGTTCAAGGCAGCAATTGATTAAGGGGTAGACACAACCTATTAAGACCAAACAAGTTAGAAGTTATAGCAAACCATGAATACAAGGGAATCAGTAAGAAAACCTAAAGAAGGTGCAGAGAGGAAAAAGCTTCCTTCAAGCATTCAACAAGAAGCAAAACAACCCAAGCAGGCTTGCAATAAGACTAGAAAAGATCAAACTCATAGACACCATCTTGGCAGGAAATTTGGCTGAGTAATCAGAATTGCAAGGCACACCACAGAATCCAAGTACAACGGTAAAGACAATTAAAAATCAAATCAGATTCCCAAAGATCAAAGTCAATCCAACAAATAATCTCATCACAAGAGCTCTAGAAAGGTCCAAACGACTCATCTCCTCCAGACCCTATCTAAAGGAGGCAAACCAGAAAAAAAAAACACGAGAATATATAAATTCACCCATTGAATCCTCTAACTATTCAAAGTCCATCATCAAGGCCATCAATAACAATTTCAATCCAACAAACAACTCTCATCAAACACCTCCCACTCAAAATCAGATAACAATGCCTTTCAAAGAAATTCCTCTATCTCCTTTCCAGCGCTAGGGGAAAAAAAATCTTAGTAAGCTCAAAGTCCCCCCCCCCCCCCCCCCCCTATCCTTCTCCAAATTCCAAAAAGATTTACAAACTAAAAACACTTACTCTCACAGTTTAAAAGAAAAAGAAGCAAATCAAGTGTCAGATAGATATAAAAGTAAAAGCATTCCACTTGGTCTTTGAATATGCCTCACTGATACTAAATTTTCTCTTATAGCTGTTGGAGATCAAAACCACAAAAAGCACCCAACGTATCAGCAGCACAGCAAAAAATATTCCAATTCTTCTAACAACTAAACCTTTCCCAACAAAATCTATCTGAATTCAAACAATTTTTCTATTATGCGTAGATATGTAATATTATGATCACAAGCCAATAGCCCAAACACCTGAAACTCTAAATTTAAATCTGAAGACAACAATCTAACAGGCACACAAACGCACACACATAAATAGAAATGTGTGTATTAAACCATAATCCTTATGTTCCCAAAAACTAAAGGCCATGGCGTTAAACACACATACCCCCAAATTGCGGTGTGAATTTGCTGAATTTTAAAACACTGTGGACTGACAATGTGAAAAGTAATTTTAGTCTTTAATGTCATAGACCATGGTTTTTTAACGATTTTCTTGTTACCCATTACTGGATTGGACAACTTGTCCACCTTTGATTGGTTTTTTTTGTAAATAATAAAGTTGCCTTTTCTTATCAAAAAAAATGTGAAAATGATTCAAGAACTGTACCAACTTAGTATTCCACCTAGTAATAAATGAAAACAATAAAGCAATCAAAACTTCTGCCTAAGTTGGCAAAGAAGTCTTTTTACCTCAAAAGAAAACAACAAACATAATCAAGACTACCAGCCTTAATCATTAATAATGCCCTCACTATCAATAACTACGTGGACCATAAATAGAAATTTGAGATCTTACAAGTCAAATAAAAACAAAGTATGCCTACAAGCCAACAAAATGTGGAGAAGATGAAATAAAAAATCTGACTTATCAAAAATATATAAACAGAAATACAAAAATGACATTGTCTCACGGCACAAATGCTTCAAGAATAGAAGGCAATAAAAGATGGAGATGGTGTTCCAGGCGGTGGCAAAGTTAAGGCAACCTCTGCGTAAGAAGTAAGTAGAACCAGAAAACACCAAAACAGACAAAGCTAACAACAAACAGCTGAGATTCAAATAAAAAAAAAACGTGCAGGAAAATATACAGAGAGTAAAATAACGATTAGCAAAATTAACTAAATGGCTTAGCAGCAAAACTGAAAAAAAATCAAACTCAGTCATCCCCTTGGCAGAGAATTTTGCATCCAAACTCCAGACTCCAGAGAACTTCATTTTTAGGAGCATGATTAAGTTTAGAATTTGTTTTTTAGGAATTGAGTTTATAAGATTGAGAATCAAAAAAGTATTCCAAGGATCCAGGAGTTCCAGAAAGGCCCAAAGAAGTTGTATCCTTAGTACCTTACAAGGAGCAAATGACAAAGAAAAACACAAGTATCTGTGACCAGGCAGCTTGAAGAAAAAAGTAGCTTGTCTAATATGATAAGGAGACAAATCACCAATACCACATTGGAACCATCGGCAGGTTGCAAAGGGAAAAATTGTACAATACCTTCACTTTTCTTAACAATTAAAGTTTTGACTTTGCTCAGGAATCACAATTAAGACACTAATACCCACACAAGTTGAACAGCACACCTAAGATGGTGTACAAACTCTCAATGAACCATAAAAGAATCCAATGACATAAGGTCAAATAATTGTTACTTCTATTTAAGATTGTCATTTGGTATGGCACTTAATATGACCAAATACAAAGAGATTATCACTAGTAGAACATGAACCCAAAAGAGCCAATAAAGATTCAAATAAAAACCATAGATTAACCAAATCACAGTTAACTTGAGTTTAACAAAAGCAGCAAAGAAAAAAGTCATTACATATAACCAAAAAACCTGAGAGATCACTAATTCCAGAAGCACACAAATAAAAAGATAATATGAAAAACAATTTTCTCATGCCCCACCATTATCGTGTTCTGACAAATCTACCTCACTGTAACAATATCATCAATCTTCAAAATCATCCGCACACACTCTGTCGCTAGAGAGATAGCGCTTGTGCTCACCAGCAGTGGCTGCACCACATTCTCCTCCAAGATATTAGTGATTTGCCCCTTCCTCACATTGATCCCAGCATGTATCTCACCTTGTGCGTGCCTATTCCTCAACTCAGTCACAATAGCAATTGGGTTTAACCCTGCATTCTCAGCCAACGTATACGGAATAACCTCAAGTGCCTCCGCAAATGACCTGACACAGTAGCTCTCCATCCCTTGCAAAACCTTGGCCCATGTACCCAATTGCCTTGAAAGCTCAATCTCAGGTGCCCCACCACCTGCAATCAAGAACCTCTTATTTACCAAACACCTCACCACGCACAATGCATCATGCAAGCTACGTTCAGCCTCATCAATGACCAACTGATTTGACCCACGAACCAGCACTGTTGTGGTCCTTCCCATATCCTTAATCCCGGTAATCTTCACAATCTTCCCACCATCCCCCAACGAAACCTCCTCAACCAAATCTGCGTACCCCAACTTTTCAGCTCTAAAATGCTCAATATTTGCAATAGGCAAACAATTCAATGTCTTTGTGATAAATTCAATCTCATCTCTCTCTACATCCTTAATCACCAAAATCTTCGCCTTTGCCAGATAATGCAATGATAAGGCTGTCACTGCGTCCCTCAAAATGCTCTTCTGAATCAACAACACATTACATCCCGTTGCTTTAATCTTCTTAATCATCCCCAGAATATAATTCCTCTCTTCCTTCAATATCCTATCCATCTGTGTATAGTCTGAAACCACAATTGATTGCTCAATATCGGTCTTTGGTGGGGAAATCTGAAACTGAATCACTGCAATCTTAGCATTTTCAACCCGGGTCAGTCCACCTGAGGAATGACTCACTTTCTTATCAAAAACCAAACCCTTAACTAGCTCAGTATCATCGACAGTCCCTCCCAGTTTCTTCACAATCTTAATATCCCTCAGATCAACCATGTCTGATTTTGCGGGGTCTACAGCTGAGAGTACAGCATCAACAGCTAGTGGAGCCAAAAGCAAAGAATACTGTGAAACCACTTTACTATTTAAAGAGGTGGTAGCAGCTTTGATTAGCGATTCAGAGTCTGACAATTCTAGTGGTATAGCCATTGCTGTTAATACTTCAACTGCCTTTATAGAAGCCTTGTGAAGAGCTTCCGAGACAATGGTCGGGTGAATACCTGATAAAACGGATATGCATAATTTCAACAAGCTGTTAAAAGCTCACAGCAACATACATTAAGGTGGCATTTGGTAACCGCCTGTTTTTTTTTTTTTCGTTTTTGTTTTCATTTTATGGCTAAAAAAAAACAAAAATATGTTTGGTGAATGTTTTTGGTTTTTTTTTTAACATCTCCATTTTAAAAACAAGACTAAAATATGAAAACATCAAAAATGATATTTTTGAAAACATCCAAAAAAGAAACACGGGCACGGTTCAAATGTCTCATTTAATGAGATCCTAACTTTGACTCTCCTTAGTAACAAAATGTGAATTTTTTATGTTTTAGTATAAAAACCCCCCTCTCGGGTCTCTTTCGACTCGAATTTTTTTTCAGGTCTCTGGTCTCTCACAACTCACTCGAATTTTTTTTTCAAGTCTACGGTCTCTCTCTCTCTCTTCTCTAATGGTTTTGTTGGGCAATTTCCAGTTTGAGTTTTGGGGGTGATGGTGGGGTTGGGTGGTAGTGGGTTTCAGGGATGAGTAGTGGGTTTTGATCGGGAGTTTCAGGGGTGGGTAATGGGTTTCGGTGGTTATGGTGGTAGGGGTGGGTTGTGGGTTTCGATGGTGGGGGTTGGATTGGGGGTGGATTTCAGTGGTTGTGGTTTCGGTGGTAGTGGGGTTGAGTTTCGGTGGTTGGATTGGGGTTGAGTTTCGGTGGTTGTGATGGTGGATTTCGGTGGTAGTGGTGATGGGTTTCAGTGGTGGCGAGGGTGGGTTGGGGGTGGGTTTCAATGGTGGGATTGGGTGGTGGATTTCGATGGTAGGGTTGGGTGGTTGTTTTGGGTGGTCAGTGGGGTTGGGTGGTGGGGTTTGGGTGGTGAATTTTTGGTATAATATCAAACAAGTTTTTTATTTTTGTTTTTACAATTTTTTAAGTATAAATGACTACCAAACATATTTTATATTTTTAATTTTTATCACAAAAAAAACAAAACTTAGTTCTATTTTTTTTATTAAAAAAAACATAAAAACGAAAACGTTACCAAACGCACCTTAAAACAAACTATCAAACTAGTTAAAATCATCATGTCATCACCCAGACCGTACTTAATTTGATTCCAGAAGGAGAATTGGAATTCTACAACTACAAACACAATGATCATCACCAACAACCATGAATGATAAAAGTCCAAAAAAAAACGCCACAAAATACCTGAAGCGAAGGTGACATTAAGCACTAAAAAAGGGGGAAGAAGAGAGACACTAGATTCAGCATTCATCAAAAATATTCAGTCTCAGAAAGTCCCAAAAAAACTCAAATTCTAGAAGCATCCAAATATCAAAAGACAGAACTTTGCCACTGCTTCACTACTAAGTGTATTAAAAGTATATTTCCTTCATTTCTATTCATAGTATGTTTGGGAATCCAAATGAAACAAATAATTTTATTTTTATGACAACGAGCTCAGGCCACATTCAAGATAGTACCTTGGACTTATTGGGGATGTGGGGTGATTATAAAACTTGCACACATTCGCAGTAAGTCAAGAATTGTCTCACTTGTGACCCAATCTCAATTTCCCAACTAGATAGATGAAATGATTCCATTTCATTGCAATGTTCATCTTTGGGTCCCCATTGCAGTTAATACTTCAAGAGATTTTATCAATGGCAGTGCCAAAGATGCCAAGGGAGTCAGTCCCAACAAAGATCTGGGATAGAAACCATATGGGTACTTCTTGCTCCCAAGCTCTCCTGTAAAAATTTTCTTCAATGTTTTTGATATTTGGAAGCCTTTCGTTGAAGTCTAATTTCAGAGGCCATGACCCGATTCAGTACTAGGAGTAACAACTACCAACCGTGATATTATGGGTTCGACTACAAGATCAGCCATTTTGTGCAAAACAACGACAAAAGTTGGGTTCATAACAGTTTGTGAAGTGAGTGAAGACAATGGTAGGATGAATACCTGAACTTAGAAGAGAGAGGCATTGTTTGAGCAATGCGCCAGCGATAACGACGACGGTGGTAGTGCCGTCACCGGCTACAACGTCCTGGGACTTGGAGAGCTCAACGAGGAATTTAGCGGCGGGTTGGAGGACTTCCATCTTATTCAAAATGGTTGCGCCGTCATTGGTGATTATGACCTCGCCAGAAGCCGTGCAGATCATCTTGTCCATACCCTTAGGACCTAAGCTCGTCCGGACAGCACTGGCAACCGATTGCGCCGCCGCTATGTTCGCCATTCGGACGTCGTCTTTCCGCTTGTTGTCCGTGAAGGTCTCGGTCTTCGAAGGGCCTGAGCGTGGGGCTTGGACGACCGCTGGGGCAGCCATTGTTGATCAGATCGCTTAGTTCAGAGTCTTAGAGAGTGGGTTCGTGAGAGAAAAAGTGTGCGTGTGCGGGTAAATGATATAGAAACCCTAGAATAGATAGAAAAGGAGGGAGAGTAAGAGGTGGGCTTGGAGTTTTGGGTAGAGTTCGAGAGTGTTCGTAAAATTACCAGAATGGATATAAGGTAGAGGAGGTGATTGGTTGGGGGATAATTTTATTGCATAAGGATGTTTGTGCTTTTGGTATTAGGGCAACTTTAAAGGGATTGTTATTTTGGGTGTCAAATTACTTATTTATAATTTTGAATAATATTTTGGTATCTTTGAATTATAAATCTGTTTTAATGACAGGTGTTAAAATGAGGTATCATTTTAATATTTCTTATTAAAAAATATAATTAAACTTAACTTCAGTTGCAACTTTTCTCTCTTTTTACTGTAATCTTGCAAAACAAATACATAAATTTTTTATGCAATATCTCTCTCTCTCCAAAGTTTGAAAAATTATCACCCCAAGAGCATTGTTGTCATTTTCAACCCTTGATGTCACTCTCATTGAAGTGAAAAATTTTGAATTTTAGAGTGACATTTTGACAATTATATGCAGTTATGGGATTGTCACTCCCCCTTAGAGTTGCTCTTAAGAAAAAAGGATTGAAAAAAAAATTATATGTCTCATCCTATCCTCTTCACTCTCATATTTGAATATTAATAATTGTTCGTACTTGAATGTACTATGTTACTCATAAAACATTATAAATATTTATTTATAAATAAAGACAATGTATAATATAATTTTAACAATATAACGATCATATTGATATTGTTCAAATTATATGCAGAATATATATTATCAAATATTTATATAACGAAAGTCACGATACGACTTTGTAACATATTTATTCAAAAATCTGAGAAAATATAACTATTATTAATCAAACATCCATAATTTTAACATTTTTAATAAACTTTATCTCAAATTTCAAAAAAATATAACTATTTATTTTTCTACAAGTTTTTACCTAAAATTCATAACTTTATCTCTGCATTATTTTTTAAAAGTAAGTTCGTGTAACTTTTGTAAGGAAAACATTCAAAAGTTTCACGAGAATTCTCATAAATGAAAAAAAAATTAATGAGAAATTAAAATCAATTTCCATTTGAATTCAACGTAAATATTCATAAAATTCATTCGAATTTAAGTTTAAGTAAAAATTTATACTTTATACTCGACAGTCAAATTCAGCTCAATTTAAGTTTTAATCATAATTACGTCAAATCGAAAATTGAATTTAAATTCGACTCAATTAACATTTCTATTTTAAACCTACAAACTAATTTTTATCTACTCCCCATTCACATTAACACCATAATTTTTTTAATTTAATTATTCTTTATTATTTTTACAATCAATTTCAATTTGACTTCAACTTGAATACTTGCAAAATTCAAGCAGAGTTAAGTTTAAGGAAGAATATATATTTTAGACTCGAAAATCAAATTTAGCTCAATTTAAATCCTAATTATAATCACTTCAAACCAAAAATCAAGTAAAATGAAAAGGATTCTTGTAATTTTTGACCTGAAAAAAAAAATTGGAATAGTTTCGATCATTTGATCAAATAATCTGAGTCGGAAAAAGTTCAAGACAAATAATGCTAACTCCCTTAGTATATAGATATATCATGAATTAAATATATATTATTCACCTATTATACTATTCAAATATTATAGTATTTTTATTTCAATACAAAAGATGACCTATATTATAGTCATTCGAATCGTTTTGATATAAAAAATCTCTATTAAGATCCATTTGTTTATTAAAAATAATCTTTAATTATATAGAATAATAATTAATGACCTAATTAATGTGTAGAATGAGATAGAGAGAGAGAAAGGGGTTATAAGAGAGATAGGAGTTATAGAATTGTGGATAAAATGAAAGTTTTGTTCAAAAAATTGGGGGGGTGATTTTGCATTAGAACCGTCGGATCAATAATTTCTTCAAACTATCTGAGCCGTGAAAAGTTCAAGACAAACAATCTAGCTACTTTATTGTGTAGATATATTTTGAGCCTGATATTATTACCTAAAAATAATTAAGGCCCAGATAAATAATGCATTTGTAGTCACATACACCTTCTTAAATAAACTCACCTATTTGGTGGGTTAAATAGTACGATTGGGGTATGTTTTGGCAAAAAATATTTTTATTCTCAAGAATCTCTAGAATATAATTATCGTAATGGTTATTTAATAATTTAATATTTATACATTCAATACTCCATCCAAACATAGTATTAGATGAGATAAATATGGGGTTCACTACTTCTTAATACTTGAATCAAACATGAGATAAAGAGACATTATCACTATAATTAGTCCAAAGTCTAGATGGATGGATATGATATGGATGAGTTTGTCCAATTCAGTACTTTCTAATACCTAAATCAAACACACCCTGATAGGCATCTTTTGGCAACAATTCGGGGAAGAGGCACGACTTGCAACCCGACCCATTTGTTGTTAGTGAAAACAATGTTATTTTGGGCAAAATGACATCGTTCTATTTAATGGTTAGCTAAAATGGGAGGACTTGTCGTTTGTTCCCACTGCAAATGTAGATTATGAATTACAATATTTGATTACATATTTAAGAAAAAGATGAAATAAGAAAATGTTAATGGAGGCATTCCAAACAGAATAAAAAAAGGGTTTAGCCAATGCAAATATTAACAACTCGTTAGTGCACATAATAAAAAAAAATTGGAAGCCAAAAATGAATGAACTAGGTCAAATAGACATTGGCCAATATATGAATGAAATTGAATCACATTTTGTCTAGAATAGTTTTTGACGCAAATTAAAATGCATAGGATATACTTTCAGTAGACATGTCCTCATATTTTAAAAATATTTCTAAGATTTCTTGGCAATTGAGACTTGTAGCACTTAGATCTCTCCGAGTGACATATGTTATAGAGAGTAATAGTGGTTTAAGCTAAAACATTAATATTTTTCAAAATACCCCTCTATAGTAAGACAAAGATTTCTAAAATAATATTGCTCTAAAAATAGTATTAAAAAGGCAATTCTGCTATCTATCACAAATGTATAGACAATTTTTATTTTTCTCTTGTATCAATACTACTATAAAAAGTATCTTAGCATGAAAAAATTTTAATTTTCTATTTTTTCCCTATAAAATATTATAAAGGTTGTGGGTGCAAAAATTGTCCAAACCTTTACGATAATATATTCAATGCATCGATGATATTATGTCAATATTGATGACATGGTATCATCAACCAATAATAAAACTTCAAATAGGTAAAGTAAACCCCATTTAGATAGTTATGACTTACATGGGAAAAAAGTGGGTAGTTATTGACTTACATAGACAAATAGTTATTGGCTTGTGTGGAGTCCATTTTTCTATTTATTTTTACATTATTGGTTAGTGATACCACGTGACAATATTAACGTGGTATCATTGTTGCAATGAATATTTTTTTAACCTTTACTCCTTTTGGGGAAGGGGAGTCTTTTGAATTACAAATTGATAGAGAGACTAAGACTCCTCTATGAGAAGTCTCGACCCTTCTTCCTTTCGAACGTGAACTGTTAACTCTAACCAGGAGGCCTTTTGATTTTCAAACATTGTATAACCTTATCTTTCGAATTCTCTTTATGAGCCAACAAGGTGGGGCAGAGTTGATTACAAGGATTGAATATGCTCTGAGCTTTCCCCGTTCACTTTGGAGTTTAATAGCTCCTCTAACGGTAACTTTCAAAATAGGCACCCTCTGTAAGAATTTTCTCGATGGTGTATTTAATTTTTTCCACATTAGTTTCCCCTAATTAGGTCTGTCCAACGTGGTTTGATCATGCATCATGTTTTCAGTTACTTTTTGTTTATTATTTTTTTGGGAAATGGAAACTGCTTAAGTGGGCATATATTGTCAGTTTAAATGAGGCAGCTTCTTGTAATGGTCATTCTCTGGGCTATTTAAGCCTTCCAGATCTCTAGTTCAAGAATTCATCTAGCCTTAAAAAATCCTTCATTGCTCTTAGCGATTTGAATTTCCAATCTTTGCTTCATGGTTCTAGATTTTCAACCTGGAATTTTATGGTTGGCTTGTTCCTTTTTAATTTGTCTTTAATAGTTTCTTCTTTCTTTCTTAAAGGTTTTCTTTGAAGAACTTAGGACTTTTCTTGAATCCCTAATCGACTGCTCTTCTTGCGAAGATCTCTAATTCTTGTTTGAATTTTCTTTGACTTTCTCCTTCTTCGTTCTAGTTCTTCATAATTGTCTTTTCCATATGGCTTCTGAGGGAACTTTGTATGATCTTGTACTATAATTACATAAAAAAAATTATATTGAGAGTCTTCTTGTGAAGATCTATTATTCTTACTTGAATTTCCTTCGATTCTCTAGTCGACTCTCTCCTCCTTCGTTCTAGTTCTTTATAATTGTCTTTTTCCTATGGCTTCTTTGTAAGACCTCATACTATAATTACATAAGAAGAATATTATATTAAGAGAACTTCTAAAATGATAATAGAAATCTTAAATCGTTGTTGAAAGATTGATCATGAAGTTTAAGTTTCACGCGAATTTACTTTTCGGGTCAAACTTAGTTTCGGATGCATTTAAGCTTGAAAATGGTGGTTAGACAAGCGTCTAATTATTTTCAAGTCAAAATAAGGCTACCATGAGAGGTACAAATAGGATATGTCCTGACCTCTAATTCGTTTGTATCAAACATCTTCTCTTTCATATTGTCTAGTGTTCTCTATTCTCATGTTTTTATAGTATTTTCTTCATTGTTCTTCTTTGTATAATATTATCTAGTGTTCTCTATTCTTGCATGTATTTAGTATTTTTCTTCCTTGTTCACTTCTTATTGTTGTATATACATGTATATAGTGGTGTTAGAGCCAACCTCTACTATGGTTTTTCCTTAATTTCTTTCTATGTTTAATCATCTTCCATTGGTT